TAGATAGATGGTGAGAGTTTTAAAAAGTCCTATTGATTACTCCAGTTCTCTCACTGAAATAGAAAGCAAGGATATCAGCTGAGAGAGAGAGAATGAGAGAGGAGATATTATAGGTTAGGACAGAAAGTTTGAAATAATTGTGTAGGCAAGTGGAAGAGTTAATGGACAATGGAAATAGAATATGATTGGCCAGCATCATTAAGCACACACTTGAGGGTGGATATGTGAAATTGGCATTTTTGAGGGGTTGTAGCTATTGATAGTATTAAAATTTAGGGTATGGAGTAAATAGCTGAGATGAGTAGAGGAGACGATTTTTGGAAGAGAAGTTAAAAAAGCCAAGAGACCAGCAAGGTGGAAGTATCATTTATATGTATATGAAAATCTCTCAGAATTAAGAGAGGAATCAAGTTGAAGAGAGTGACAGTGAATCGGAAGGGCAGTACTAAATAAAGGGGAGTGATCCAGGACTCCACAGATGGTAACACTGAAAATGGCAGCATAAAGAACTCCAGAGCTCTGTCCATTCATAAAAGCAGCTAAGGAGCTTTTAAAAACTAACAATAAACTTTTACAGAATTCTGGAATTTAATAAAAATCTTAAAACTAGGAAAGCCTCAATGAAGAAAGAGCTACTGCTTTGGGGTAAGAGAGCACTGTGACATTTTAAATTGCCTACCCATTATCCATTACACCCAGATAGATGGTGACCATGAAGAGAGAAGCCCACACTCCTAGTGAAGATTGCTAATGCCAGAGGATATAAAGAATTGTTTTCAAAGAACCATAGGTTCAAACTATTTGGTTGTTCATTGAAGTACTCGGGCAAGGGCTTGTCTCTGTTTTGCCTGAATGTGAGCATCCCTATGGCTTGGGTGGCTTTTGCCCAAAGCATTTTGGCTTTAGCAACTATTGGCTTTAGCAGTCTGGAGCAAGAAACAAAAGTTGGATAATCAGTAGAGAGACTGAATACTTGGGAAGGAAGAAGTTGAATAATGAGATATGTAGGGGAGGGGGTGGTTAATGACTTTTAAGAAGCAAATGAATATACCAGGTAATAGGGAAAAAAGGCCATGTACATGTCCAGAACTGTGTGTGTACTCAGAAAAGGGCTGAGAAAGACCTAAGCTTTTTCTATGTCTGGCCTTTAGAGTCTACACAAGCAGGAAGTGAAGACTAAGGGAAAGTAATAAATGCTCTGGCCAAGTATTGAGGATTGCCCCAACACACACACAGCCAATGTACAAAGATTAGGAGATTATTTTTTTCTTTTTCTTTTTCTTGAGGGCTTTGGGGCTCTTAAGAAAACTTAAAACACGAACTGATCGTTAAGCTAACAGAACAGATTTCGGTGGCCATACAAAATAAGTCCAGAAAATTCACTAAACAAGTAAACAGCAATAACCCACAGTAAACAGTATCATAAACCTCAGAGTGGGTGCAGAATCTGATTTTCAGAGTTGTTTCTTAATATTCAAAATGTCCAGTTTTCCATAAGAAATAATGAGATATGTAAGGAAACAGAACATGGCACATTCACAAGAAAAAATAAATTAATAGAGAAACTATCCATGAGGAAGCCCAAGCAATGGACTTAGTAGAATAATAATTTAAATAAAATGTCCTAAATATATTTATGATCTATAGGAAACCATGAGAAGAACTAAAGAAAACAGAAAAGCATTGTCTCATAAGATAGAATATCAAAAAGAAATAATTATAAAAGAAACAAATTATGGAGTAAAATAGTACAATAACTGAAATTAAAACTGCACTAGAGGGATGCAAGAGGATATTTGAGAAGGCTGAATACATAGTAGAAAACTTGATAAGTCTGAGGTTATCCATTCTGAGGAGTAGAAATTAAAAATGAAGAAAAATGAACAGAGCCCATGAGACTTATATGACACCATTAGTTATAACAATATGTGCATTATGAGTCCCAGAAGCAGAGGAGAGAGAAAGGGATAGAAACTCTATTTGAAAAAAATAGTGATTGAAAACTTTTGAAAGATATGAAGCTGCACTAAGAAGCTCTGCAAACATCAAGCAGGAAAAACTCAAAAGAGATTCACACCAAAATACATTATAGTTAAATTGTTGAAAGCCAAAGACAGAGAATCTTGAAACTAGAAAAATAGATGTGACCCATTGCGTACAAGAGATCCTCAAAAAGAATAATAGCTGATTTCTCTTTGGAAGGTAGTATAATGGCATTTATGCTGTAAGAATAAAACTGTCAACCAAAAATTCTATATCTAACAAAACTATCCTTCAAAAATGAGAGATTATGTTATTCCAAGATAAACAGAAGCTGGAGGAGTTAATCACTAGTAGATCTGCCCTACAAGAAATGCTAAAAGGAGACCTTCAGGCTGAAATGAAAAGACACTAGACACTAACTTGAAGCTTTATAAAGAAATAAGAGACACTAGTTAAAGTAGCTATAGGTTAATATAAAAGCCAATATTCTGTGTGTTGTTTTTTTTTGTAGCTCTTCCCCGCCCCCCCCTATGGCTTAAAAAGACAAAGGAATAAAACTATAATTATAAATCTAATCAACACACAGTGTAACTATAAAAGAAGTAGGGATGGAAATGTATAGGTGCAGTGTTTTTTTTTTGTACTATTGAAATTAAGTTGGTATTAATTCAAATTAGCTTATTATAAGTTTAAAACGTTAATTGTAATAATACCCAAGGTAACTACTAAGAAAATAAACAGAAAAGGAAAGAAAGAAATCAAAATGGTATACTACCAAAATAATTGAATACAAATGGATGCAGTAATAGAGGAAATGAGAAATAAAAACTGATACAAGACATATAGAAAACTTAGCAAAATGGCAGGAGTCCTTCCTTGTCAGTAATTACTTTAAATGTAGATAGAGTAAACTGTGATTAAAAGGAGCAGTTCAGCAGAAGTTATAAAAATGCATGATCCCAACTGTATACTTTCTGCAATAGACTCACTTTAGACCCAAAGATACAAATATGTTTAAAGTAATAGTATGGAAATACCTATCTCATACAAGCAATATTCAGGAGAGATCTGTGGTGGATATTTTAATATTACACAATGTAGACTATAAGATAATTTTTTTACAGTAGACAATGAAGAATATTATATATTGATAAAGCTATCAATCCACCAAGAAGATACAGCAGTTATAAACACACGTGCACTAAACAGAGCCTCAAAATATGTCCAGCAAACATTAAAAGAGTTGAAGGGGGGAAATAAACAGTTCTATTAAGTAATTGTTGGACATTTCTATGCCCCACTCTCATTAATAGAACAATGAGACAGAAGACCAGTAAGCAAATAGAGCATTTGAACAGCACTATAAACCAACTAAACTTAACATACATATATAGAGCACTCCATCCAGTGATAATAGATTTCATTCTTCTCAAGTGCATATGGAACATTCTCTAGTTAGATCCTATTAGAGACCACGAAACAAGCCTCAATGAATTTAAAACATTGAAAGCATTAAAAAAAAAAAACTTACTTGACAACAGTGAATGAAAACAGATCATGGCAGTTGTGTGGGATAGTGAGTGATGGGAAATTGAGAGCTAGATGGGCTTTAGAGAGGGTGGAGGGAGAATAGTCTGAAAACAACTATAAAAAGCAAAGACGGCTTGTACCCCACCTCTGAGCCTAGTAGTTATTAAGGATCTGGGGAAAATTGCTACCACTTGACTGGGTTACAGTGGGTGTGGCATTCCTGGGGAATGCTAGGCTCTGAGCATGAAAGTGGAGGGAATAATTAGAGGAGAGGTAGGGTTTTTTTTTTTTTTTTTTTTTTTTTTTTTTCCCCTGAGAATGGGTCATAAAGTTCAGAGGATTCCATGGAAGATTTTCAAGAATGCAGAAAGGTGGGATAGTACAGAACAGAATTGTGCAGAGCAATAAAAAGATCAGAGTGTGGAAGTTGATGTTTGGCCTGGTAGTTGAGGATTCTGGTAGTGACTCATTTAAACAGAGGTAATGGGAATAATGAAAGCATTCCTAATCATCTTTTGTTTTTATGGGAAAATGTCTTGATACTAAAGAATCTTTTATAAATATTTAGAGTTAAACTGTTAAGTTGAAAACTTACCTTAAAAATTACAGTGAAACAGTGCCTTTATATAATATCTATTAGTTTGATTAGCTTCACATGTTATGTGCATAATACCTATAGCAATTGTAGGGGATGTCTTACAAATATATCATTTTCAGTGTTAAATAGAAGCAGAACATAATGTTACTGTTTGCTTTTTATTTGCATTTGGCCATTTAGTAATTGTTGGTTTTACTCACTTTACTCATCCATTCATCTGACCTCCAGTAGCTTAAAAATTAGGGAAAAATCTTTTTGATAGCATTCAAAGTTCTTTCTATTTCTTTGAAGGGTTTACTGGGATGGCCTTAATTGGCCATTCCTTATTTATTTATTTATTTATTTATTTATTTATTTATTGTTGATTTATCCATGTGTAATATGTATAGACACCTGTTTTCGAGGAAAAATCAGCTGACAAGCACATATAATTAGCACAAAACCCAAGAAATGAAAAAAATAGGATAAAAGCAGACAGATGTTTTTGCACTTCCAAGTTTGTCAGTCTTGTTTCTGTGTTTCCACTGATAACTACTTGAAAAAATCAAGTTAAGAAAACACACATATAAATACATTCAAACTAAATATTCAGTGTAAAATCTCCCTATTCTATTTAATATTTGGATTTTATTCAAATATTAGCATGCATTGTAAAATGTGTCTTATTTTCAAAACTCCTTTCTTTGAGTTCATCAAAAGATGCTTCAATGTGGAAAGGGATGTAGGCATAATTATCTTCATTTTGAATTCAGATGTTAATTATGCCCAGGAAGAGCAGTGAAGCTTATTGCTGAACAAGGGTTATTTGAGCTAATTTTTCTTAAATATTGGTAAAGGATATGATTTTAGTTGTACTTTATGCACTAAATAGAAACTTTTATTTTTCAAGGAACCAAGTGGAGAGACTCCTTCATCCTTATACAGAGTTGCAGCAGTGCTTCTACAAGTTAATCTTATTGATTTAGATGATCTTTATGTACATGTAAGTCAAGTGGGCTGCTAAGAAAATTTGGTTGTCCATTCCAGGGGTGGGGAAGAGGAATAGGCAACCATATAGCACTCTACGGTTGATCCTAGGCTCTCAAATCTTAATTTTTAAAGCTAATGCATTATTTGTATTTATAAAGTGAATGACTTTATTTCTTTTATGAAGTATGGAAATCTGATAATTTTATTACCCCTACAGAGTTCAAGGTTGGATATGAAGTTAACGTTCTTAATTGTTATCAAGTCATAACACATGGGGAGAGAGGCCAAGTTCTAACCAATGTGGTTTAGACTTCTCTATACACAAATGGGAAATATGGGATTACCTAGATACTTCTTCTTTCTCCCCCAAATGTTAATTTTTGGTATTCAGCATGTATGGGGAAGTCTTCACATTTTTTTTTAAATGGCTCTTGTGTTTTAACTGGGTAATAAATGACTAGTATTGTGCTTATATTGCTGGATCCAGGATGTAGAAGAGTATGAATGTGATTTTGATCGATGATCTCTAATGTACCAACAGTTTAGCCTTTCAGTTTGAAAAAACTAGGTTTGTAGTATAGAACTTTGTTTTATTATGTTTTGTTTTAGGATATCTGTGAACTTAAAACAAACCTGTCCAATGCTGACATCATCATCACTGCTTTGGAGATCACTTTGTAACTTTCTTGCCTATCATTATTATATACTACCAGAGGCCAGATGCATGAAATTTGTGCCAGAGTAGGCCTTTGCAGTCCCGACTGCCTCAGTCCTCATAGCCCCAGCTTTGTCTGGACAGTTGTTCTGCTGTTTGGCCGTTCAGTCGATTTGCATATTATGCCTTTATTATAATAGATGGTTATAGAGGTGAATAAAACTTGATCTCTACCTTGGAAGCAGTCATAGTCTAGCAAGAGAGGAAACATTTGGCATTATATAATAAGAACTATATTGGAGGTATTTACATAGTGCTGTGGGAGTTCAGAAGAGATAGTGATCATTTCTGTGTGGGGGCATTTTGGAAGTTTTTTTCAAACTTGTGATGTCGAACTGGGATTTTGATGATCAGTAGGTGTTGGCTATGCTTATAAGGTGGAAAGTTTCATAGGCAGAAATAATTGAGTATAAAGGCAGGAAGTTTGAAAGGGCTTCATCATCATTTTAGGATGGGGTGGGGAACATCCAGCCCCTATAAAGCCTGTTAAGTCATTTGGTCTGGCTCGCCAAAACATTAGGGGTGAATTAATTAATTAGATATAATAGGCTAATTTTTAAGTTGATAATTTTGTATGGTGGGAGAAGGATGCCAAATGGTCCTTGGCAGAGAAAAGTTTCACGACTCCTGTCATAAGGGAACATCAGAAGCTCAGAATGATTGGAGCTCAGGGTGGTATGTAGGGGTGATGAGGATGGACAAATAGGTTGGGACTAAACTGTGAAGGACCTTAAGTGCCCTAGTAAGATGTTTGTTTGTTTTTTCTTGTTGGGAGTAGAGAGCCATTCAAGATTTAAAGTAGAGGAATGTTGTACAAACTGAAAACATGGAAAATTGTTCAGAATAAGGAGAATTTGAAAACATAGGTATGAGTTTATAGTGTGGACTGACAGGACAAATGGAAACTGCAAAAAATTTTTTAGATTTATTGCTGATATGTTTGAGTTTAATGATAAATGGTGGCGGACTAAGTGTTCCTGTTAAGGTGACAAAGATTTTCAGACAGGATTAAAAACCAGTTTATTATTTACACAAGACTTCTGAAATTGAAGGACAAAGAACGTTTGAAAGTAAAAGGGTGGGGAAAAATATTATTAGATAAAATAGACTTTTTGGACAAAAAGAAATACTTCATAATAATAAAGTTGTGTTCACTAGTTAAAAATGTAACTTTTTATTTTTTAAATATATTTTTATTGATTTCAGAGAGGAAAGGGAGAGGGAGAGATAGAAACTTTCAATGATGAGTATCAATTGGGTGCCTCCTGCATGCCCCCTACTCGGGACTGAGCCTGCAACCGGGCCATGTGCTCTTGACTGGAATCGAACCTGGGTCTCTTCAGTCCGCAGGCCAACACTCTATCCACTGAACCAAACTGGTTAGGGCAGTGTTTGCTTTTTATATGTGAAAATAGTATTATCTGTTTTATGAAATTTTAATGAATAATTTTTAGCTCCTTCCAGCTGATAATTGCATCATGGATGAACATAAAAGAGAAATTGTGGAAGCTAAGCAAATTGTTAGAAAACTTACAATGGTTGTATTGTCTTCTGACAAAATGGACGAGCGAGAGAAAGAAAAGGAAAAAGAAGATGAGAAAGCAGAAAAGGTATGTAGTTCATTTTAGTAAAGTTAACTTTTTTTTGGATTTAGAATCATGAAATTTAACTTGTAATAGTTAATTAAATTTTAGACAATTTTTTCTTTAATTTTGATTGTGGTGAAACATGGTTTTTGGAATAAGAATTTACAAAGGTGGTTTGCTTTTAATTTGATAATTGCCTTTCCAAAAGAGGCTACTATGTTTTTTTTAAATATAAATTTCAAAATGTATTCTAAGTAAAATCACAAATGTATCAACTATATTTATGCTATAAATATAATGTCTCTCAAGTCCTAAAGGGATTCTCACCGAATGAATGAATTCTGTGGCCCAATAAAACATTTAAGTACAACTCAATATAATTCTGAGTCTGTAAACTGTCACATTGCACGTGCTAAATGAAAAAGCAAATCCTTTTGATTGTATTTTAAGGAAAATACCATTGCATTTCCCATGAATGGCAGCTGTTGTTGATATACATTGTTGTGTGTTTAACTCACTTTTTTAAATGAAAAAAATATTAAGATATATTGGTGTCCATATTCTGAGTTTCTTTGCTGTAATTATTCATTTGTAGCCACCTGACAACCAAAAACTTGGTTTGTTGGAAGCCTTATTAAAGATTGGTGATTGGCAGCATGCACAGAACATTATGGATCAGATGCCTCCATATTATGCTGCTTCACATAAGCTAATAGCTCTTGCTATTTGCAAGCTCATTCACATAACTATTGAGCCTCTCTACCGAAGGTATGTTACTGTATGCTTTACTAATCATTGAGGTAGAAATAGTTTGGGACTATGACAAAATCTGCATATTTTATCTCCTTCAAACCATGCATCTATTTTAGTGTGCTTTATCAGAAGATAAGAATTATTTATAGTGTATCAGTCTGATATGTCTTAATCAGTGAGTTGCCTCCTAATGTCTAGACCACTGGAGAATGTGTGCTGCAGTATATGCTAAAAACTGGAGGTTAGACTTCTAGGTTGGGTTTGTTCCTTTGAGAGTAAAGACTCCATTCTTGTTTTTCACTCTCTCCTCCTCTTTTAGGGGCAGAGAATTCCTAAGGCTTTTACTTAGTGTAATTTTCTTCTATCCTGGGTTGAGTAGATTTTGCTTCTCTGCTTGCCTTATCTCTCCCAGCAAATAGGCTGCTGTTCTGGAAATTGATACTGCAGTCTTTCTCACAGTCCCTAGTTACAGTGTTGACCAATCCTCTAGCTCAGCCTACTTTTAGAATATTTAAGAGCAGTATTGGCAGTAGTTCTGGCTTCAGTCCCACATATCAGAGCCTGCCTCAAAAGCTCCAGCCTTGTGATTCATGCATAGCTGCTGGCTGTTGCCTTTAGTGCCACCTGGGTTGTGGACCATGAAGGCTTCTCAGAGTGATCCCTGTGACTCCACAGTGGGATATACCTGCTCAGCAGGTGAAAACTCTGGTATGCTGTCCTTTTTAGTGTACCCTCTTTCATTATGGTGTTCACTTTCTCTTTCACTAAACCTACCTCATACGCAGTATAAATAGTGGAATACAGATTGAGAAATTTTTATTGACTTGAATCAGTGTTGTTATATTAATATCTTTTTGTTTCATCCCCACTGTCTCCGAGGTACATCCCTTGTTCCCCATTCCCGTATGCATTTTGAGTTTTTTTTTAATCCTCATTTGAGGATATATTTTTTTTTAATTGGTTTTAGAGGGAAAGAGGGAGGGGGGGAGAGAAACATAGATATGAGAAAGATACATTGATCTATTACTACCTGTACATGCCCTAACCAGGGATTGAACCCACAACCTGGGCATGTGCCCTGACCAGAATCAAACCCACTGCCTTTTGGTGTATGGGATGACACTCCAGCCAACTGAGTCACACCAGCCAGAGCTCCCATATCCATTTTCCTGATACTGCCTGAGGTTGACTAAAAAAAAATAATTCATATGATGTTTGTTAAATGTTACTTGGAATCTGCATTTCTCTAATTTCCTTTTCGTGTGCAGTTGATATGAAACATTCTTTTTTGAGCTCTGATCTTTTTCAAGTAAATATTCTTTTTATCTTTTTCTACCAGTTAAAATAGCTGGTATAATAAAGTTAGGCACAATTGAAATATAGAAAGCAAGTATGAGCAAGAATTGTTTTACTTTAAGTTAAAATGAGGTATTATATAGCATACATATAAAGTTTGCTTCTTTTTATAGAGTTGGTGTTCCTAAAGGTGCTAAGGGCTCACCTGTTAATGCTTTGCAAAATAAAAGAGCACCAAAACAAGCAGAGAGCTATGAAGATTTGAGGAGAGATGTCTTCAATATGTTCTGTTACCTTGGTCCTCACCTTTCTCATGATCCCATTTTATTTGCAAAAGTGGTGCGCATAGGCAAATCATTTATGAAGGAGGTTAGTAAATTTTTTCTTCTTTCAAGTAGAAAATTAAATTTTGAAATGTATATGTTTTGTGTTATGTGTATCTCTAGAAATAAAAAGAAAATGAACTCTAAGAAAAGGTTATATTGAGTAAGGTTTGTGGTAAGTCCATTGTGTTGTAACTATTTGTATTTATATACATGTCTATGTATGTGTATATATACACAGATAGATATATAGATACAATTATATATATATGTCTAGCTATATAATTATATCTCTATTTTTATCTTTAAGTCTATATATTTCTATCTCTATCTCATCTAGCTAGATTATTAGTTAAGTGGCCTACATAGGAAAATATGCTTTAGACAAGTGAAAGCTTTTTGAATCATCTTATAATTGGTGGTTAACTCATCATTCCTTCCCTTTTCTTCTTCTCAGTTTTTTTCTTGGCTGCTATTTTGAATCATTGTCATTATTTGTATGAAGGACTTTGAACCTCAGATTGTTACAGATTTATATTTTAATTTTTTAGTAAACTTTCTATTGAAATAAAAACATACATATAGAAAGTACACAAATCATAATTGTATAGCTCAGTGACATTTTCCAAACACCCATATGTCTACCACCCAGATCGAGAAATAGAGCTGTACCAGCACCCTAGTTTTCCTTGTATCCTATCCAGTCACTACCTCAGGGATAACCATTTATGCTATATATATATTTTTGTTTTTAAAATCAGCTTTGAGTTATAGTTTACATACAATAAACTTCACTGATTTTAAGTATACAATTTGATGAGTTTTGACAGTATATAAAGTTATTTACCAACCATTACAATCATGATATAGACTATTTTCATCACCCTAGAAAATTCCCTCTTTCCCCTTAGTCATCAATTCCCTCCCTTTACTGTTGATTTTTGGCAACCTCTGATGGGCTTTCTGTCACTATAGTTTTGCTTTTTTCTAGAACTGCATATAAATGGAATTGTACAGAATGTACTATTTTCTGTATGTTTTCCCCCCAATTAATGTTTTTGGGATTCTTTCAAGTTGTTGCATGTGTCAGAAGTTCCTTTATTGCCAAGTACTACTTCATTGTATAAGCATAACCAGAGTTATCTATTCATCATTTGATGGACATTTGGGTTGTTTCTAGTTGAGGGACTATTATAAACAAAGCTACTATGAATGTTCTTTTCTAATTTTTTGGGGGGGAGGGGCGTATGTGTTCATTTTCCCAGGTATGGGATTGTTGGATCATGTGGATAAGTATCTGTTTATTTTCCTGCCAAACTATTCAACATGTGTAACCATTTTGCATTCCTGAAGCACTGTGTATGATTTCCAGTTGCTTTACGTCTGTATCAACACTTGGTACTGCCAGTCTTTAAATTTTTATTTTATTTTAATTAAAAATGTGTTTTTATTGATTTTAGAGAGGAAAAAAGAGAGAGAGAAACATTGATGAGAGAGAAACATCTATTGGCTGCCTCTTGCATGCCTCCCATTGGGGATTGACCCCGCAAACCAGGCATGTGCCCTGACCAGGAATTGAACTAGTGACCTCTTGATGCATGGTACTATTTTGTTCAACCAACTGAGCCATACCAGCCAGGCAGTCTTTTCAATTTTAGTCATTCTAATAGGTGTATATTTGTTGTGCTTTTTATTTATGTTTTTCTGATGATCAGTGATATTGAGCATCTTATCATGCCTTAATTTTCCATTTGTAATCCTCTTTATTAAATAATCTATCCAAATCTCTTGCCCATTTTTAAGTAGCTTGTCTTTTACTATTATTTCCCTATCTGATTTGCCCTTTTATTTTATTAACTGTCTTTTGAAAAGCAAAATTTAAAAATTTTAATTCTAGTTTGGCAATACTTTTTAGACTAGAGGCCCGGTGCATGAAATTTGTGTGTGTGTGGGGGGTGTGTGGGAGAAGGGGGTTCCCCTCAGCCCAAGCTGCACCCTCTCTAATCTGGGACCCCTTGGGGGCATTCAGACATCCCTCTCACAATCTAGGACTGCTGGCGCCCAATTGTTCGCCTGCCTGCCTTTCTGAATGCCCCTAATCGCTCTGCCTGCCAGCCTGATCACCTCCTAACCACTCAGCTGCCAGCCTGATTGATGCTTAACTATTCCCCTGCCAGTCTGTTTGCCCCTAACTGACTTCCCCTACGGGCCTGGTCACCCCTAACTGCCCTTCCTTGTAGGCCTGGTTCCCCACCAACTGCTCTCTCCTGCAGGCCTGTGTCCCCCCCCAACTGCCCTTTCCTACAGTCCTGGTCACCTCCAGCTTCCCTCCTCTGCCAACTTGGTCACCCCTAACTGTCCTCTCCTGCAGGCTTGATTGCCCCCAACTGCCCTCCCTTCCAGGCCTGGTCCCTCCCAACTGCCCTCCCCTGCTGGCCATCTTGTGGTGGCTATCTCTTGTCCACATGGGGGCAGGATCTTTCACCACATGGGGGCAGCCATCTTGTGTGTTGGAGTGATGGTCAATCAGCATATTACTCTTTTATTAGATAGGATAGAGGCCTGGTGCACGAGTGGGGGCCAGCTGGTTTGCCCTGAAGGGTGTCCTGGATCAGGGTGTGGGTTCCTTTGGGTTGTGGGGTGGTGTGGGTGAGGGGCCTGTGGTGGTTTGCAGGCTGGCCATGTTCCCAGGCGACCCAAGTGGAGACCCTGGTATCTGGGGTTTATTTATCTTCTTTTTTTTTTTAATTTTTAAAAATATATTTTTAATTGATTATTTTACAGAGAGAAAGATAGAGAGTTAGAAACATCAATGAGAGAGAATCATTGATAAGCTGTCTCTTGCACACCCCCCTCCAGGGATGTGCCTGCAACCAAAGTATATGCCCTTGACCGGAATCGAACCTGGGACCTTTCGGTCTGCAGGCCGACACTTTATCCACTGAGCCAAACCGGTTTCAGCTATTTATCTTCTAAACTTTGTAGCCTTGAGTGGTACCAAGCCTCCTGCTTGCTCCATGGCTACCACCATTTCTGTTGGAATTTATGTATCTTCTATAATTGAAACTTTGTAGCCTTAAAAGGGAGGCCTGAGACAGCCAAGGCTGCAGAAGCTTGGCCTCCTCCATTGCTCGGGGCAACCCTATCCTCCTGCTCTTTAAGCCCAGTGGCTGCTGCCATTTCTGTTGGAATTTGTTTACCTTCTATAATTGAAACCTTGTACCCTTGAGTGGAGGCCTGGGCCTGCCAGGGTGTGCAGAAAGCTTGGCTTCCTTCATTGCCAGGGAAACTCAAGCCTCCCTCCTGCTCTCTGTGGCAGCAGCCATCTTGATTGGGGCTAATTTGCATGCTGGCTCTGATCGGCTGGTAGGTGTGGTTGGTGGGTGTAGCAGAATGATGGTTAATTTGCATATTACTCTTTTATTAGATAGGATTTACATAAAAGGAAGTATAACTGTGTGTTCTATTATCTTGATCCATACAGTCTGAAAAGCATGAGTCATGTTAACTAGTGCCTGTTCAAAGAAAAAAGGTTGTATCTTTCCCAGTGCATAATTTTTGGGAAACATGTGAAGTCAACTTGTTTTCCTACTGGTGATGTTTACATTGATTGTTTGGTTAAGATGACAATTGCCAGGTTTCTCCACTGTACAGTTGCTCTTTTCCCCTTTGTTGTTAATGTGTATCTTTTAAAAAAAATAAGTTTTTATTGTTCATATTATTACAAATGTTCCTCCCCCCCCCCATTGCTCTCCTCCACCAGGTTCCCACCCCACCCTCTGCCCTTTTCCCACTCCCCATTGTCCTCATCCATAGGTGCACAGTTTATGTCCAGTCTCTTCCCACACCCCCCTCTCCCCTTTTCCCCAAGAATCGTCAGTTCACTCCCCTTCCATACCTCTGATTCTATTATATTCACCAGTTAATATTGTTCATCAGATTTTTTTTTAAATTTCCTTGGTTTTTAGATTCACTTGTTGATAGTTACGTATTTGTTGTTGTTAATTTTTATCTTTGTTTACTTCTCTTCTGAAAGAACCCCTTTCAGCAATTCATATAATTCTGGTTTGGTGTTGATGAACTCCTTTAGCTTTTTTTTATTAGTGAAGCTCTTTATCTGACCTTCGATTCTGAGTGATAGCTTTGCTGGATAGATTATCTTTGGCTATAGGTTCTTACTATTCATCACCTTGAATATTCCTTGCCATTCCCTTCTGGCCTGCATGGTTTCTGTTGAGAAGTCAGCTGACAATCTTATAGGTGTTCCTTTATAAGTAATAACTACCTTCTTTGCTCTTGCTTCTTTTAATATTTTCTCTTTGTCTTTTGCTCTTGGAATTTTAATTATGATGTGTCTTGGTGTGGTCCTTTTTGGATTCCTTTTGTTTGGAGTTCTGTGTGCTTCCTGGACTTGTAAGTCTAATTCTTTCACCAAGTGGGGGAAGTTTTCTGTCACTATTTTTTTCAGTATGTTTTCAATATCTTGCTCTCTCTCATCTTCTGTGACCCCCATAATTCTGATATTGGTTCGCTTGAAATTGTCCCAGAGGTTTCTTACATTATCTTCAATTTTCTGGATTCTCTTGCCTTCTAGCTTCTGTGGAGGAGTGTCTTCTGGCTCTTTATGTTCCAAATCTTTGACTTGATTCTTGTTATCTTCCCTTCTGTTTTTAGGACTCTGTAAAATATTTTTTATTTCAGGTAATGTATTCTTTATTTCTTGTTGATCCCTTATCATTTCTTGATGGCTCCTTATTAATTCTAGTTGATCTCTGTTCATATCCTCATAGGTCTTATCCATCTTTTCTAGGAAATTCTTGAAAAACCTTATAAGCGTAGATTTGAACTCTATATCCAGACGCTTTTTGTCCTCCATTTCTTTCGTTTGTGATCTATTTTGTTGTCACATTTCGCAATTACAGATGGGACGGGGTTTCAGGATGGAGCCTGCAGCTTTGGCTTCCGTCAGCCCCGCCCTATGTGGGTCCTTCAGTGCTTGCTGCTGGCGCCTCTGAGAGAAAGGTGTCCTCGATTTTCGCCTGCTGC